TAGAGCCCAGAGTCCGCCTCAAATCCAAGGGGTATTCTATGTCATTTCAGGCGACGAGGCGCAGAGATCACCTGAAAGTTGACGGTGTTGTGGCATTGGTATGGCTATCTTTAGCGCCTTCGGATCTACTATCTATACCCTGCTTCGACGGTCAAAACTTGCGAGTACTAGTATGGGTGAGAGCAGGAGCTTCTGCCGATGGCGATGCGAGAGGCGGACCTTGGGCTATTCCTGAATCGCCGAGTACTTACTCGATTTCCGACCTCTCGATCGAAGAATCAGAGCTAATACTTGCGTTGTCGCCTTCTGTTTTCTTTTTTTATTTCCTGCGAAGTACAGAGGAGGGGAAGGGCCCCGATCCAAGGGCAAATTTGACGACAAGATCGCGCCATACTTTGGAGTAGGCGTCGACGGTGGAGAGCGCTCTTGACAAGACATGCGGCACAGAAAACACAGTTCTGCGATCTCGGAATTTCGGATTTCGTCCTGCATACCTCCTACATACTGTCCTACCTCCACGCATCACGACCGTCCGACGTTCGGCCAACCACCACCCCTCACCACACACTGCAATTCCTCTAGAGTAAAGTATGTCAGCAAGGTCTAAACTCGATGTAGGAATACAGCGTTCTCGTGATCGTGACGCCTTCGCCTTCGTCTGAGTCAGTCGGTTGGATAGATAAGAGGCTTCGGGGCTTCGTGCTCGCGAATCCGAAGCGCGATGTCGGAATAGTCTATTTGAATAAGTGGCTATTCGGAATTCGGGTTTCGGAATGTCGAGGAAAGAGGAAAGGAAAGAGGGAAGAGGAAAGAGGAAAGAGGACCGAGTCGGATGCAGCGTCTCTGGAACCCTCAGGCTTCGAATTATTGATTCGTAGGTCACGTAGTTTCTTGGACGCGAATTTATAATACTAGACCCCCTCCTTTATTTTTACGTACGTAGAGCCGTGCTTCTACGACCGTACGCATCCTAGAATACGAACACAAAAAGCTAAAAACGCTATTATTAGATTTAGGCTTTTGGGGACGTTATTATAGGAAGGCCAGGCGTGCTCTGGTGTGGTGTGGTATTTCTGGTTTTCAGCTAGGCTTAAAATTATTCACGGCTAGGTACTTATAAAAGTATACCCTTGGAGAATGCCCGTGAATAACCGGTGGAATTCACGAAGAACTGGAATGGGGCTCATGATCACCGGCGGTTGGATTTCCGCACGAAGAGTGCTCTCAGTGGTACCGCAGTGGCGCACGCGGTGTGGGTATGTGTCCTCCTCGGACGACGGACCTGCAGCCGGACAGGTCAGGCAATGGCATCGCGCCCCGATGCCGACGTCATGATGACGCGCTGCACGTCACCGTCCGTCGCCACTGTCTGCGTACGTACGCCATAACACCCAAATGCTACTGAAGGGCGCCGCTAACTCGATGTCGACACCGAGGGACGCCTGCCCCGCGATACGAACGTTCAGTTTTTAGAGTGAGGCGGTCTCGAGCGCTCTCCAGACGCCAGACGCCTGACGGGCACCGACTTTGGTGTACTTAGTGAGCAGTAGTCGAGGCGAGTAAATATGATCGACGATCGTCTCAAGAGTTTGATCGACCGCATTGGCGCGCGATCGTGATTGGCACAACGTGATCGACGCAACGGGAGGTGATCGAGAGACTTCGGGAGAGGGCGCGGGCGCTTATGTTTGGTTTGGGAGCCGGATGAAGCGGGCTCGAGCTCTGGTAGCGTAACTGGACTTGGGAAGCGATTAATAAATAGGCAATTTTGAGTCATGTTGGAGAAAGGGAGAGGCAGCCACGTAGGGTACTTACCTTTGCACAGATACGCAGACAGTGCTGAAGCCAACAGCTGGAGGAAAAGTACAGAGCATGATGAGCCAGCTGTTGCAAATTGTCTACTATTTTACATAATATTGGAAGGAATGGGGGAACTGGACCAACAGAAGTCAGAGCGTAATGTCTTTCGTGTTGTTTCCCTATCCAGCACGAGAATGAGATGAAAAGTGTTGACGAATTGTTGTGGGATTGTGACATACAATATGGATGGTTCATGGACGATTCGACTATCCTTTCGCCAGTAAGGGCGCCTGAAGATCTTTGTGTAACTCCAACCTTAATTTGTCTCGTTTCACAGCAAGTAACAATACTGTGCCTTCCTGTTTGGGACTGGCATGAGATGAACCCTTCGCAACCAAACGAGAGATCCGGTCGGAACACGCCGGCCGCGACATGTACCAGTGTAGAGTAGCTGCCTTCGGATGTACAAGGTTTCGGATGTCTTGCCGATTCCTGGATGCGCTGACAGCAGTAATATCTCGAAGTGCAATGAAATATGTCGGTGGTGGTTGAACGTAAGATAGGGCAAGGAGGAATAGGCGCCAAAGTATCATCTACAGCGATCTATAAATAGTGCGATGCTATTTAACTACTCCTGGCCCGCGGACATCTCAGGGTATTTAATGTTTGATCGAGCTGGTAGGAGTGCTTGGAAGAGAATGACAGACGGTGCTCCCAGTCTGCTAAACCAGCGCGGTCCCTGTTACTGCCCCATCCGAGTAAGACTTATGTATATCAGTGAAAACTAATCTATGTACGGGAATACAAATATATGGTACATAAAATATGAGGTATATGCGTATTTTATGACAGTCCAATCCAATGAATATCGTAGCCTACAGGTTTTGTCTCTTCTCCGGCGTCCCATTGACTTCCTGAGGAGAATGTATCACGTTATTTGACTGCTGGAGTAAAAGCCAAACGAGAACCTACCGTGTCCGGACGATGTTCGCCATCGCCATCATCCTCCTTCCGCACTGACACCGCCCCAGCCTCCACATCCGACTTCTTGCGGCTATAGCCGGCCAACGAAATCTCGTTCTCCGACATTGCTTTCGTTGTTATTGTCGTATTATGTTTAAACAAGATCCGAGCGCCTGTCCGGAGTACAGAGCCTTCGTGGTGACGACTGCTGCTATGCCCCGAATTTCCCGAATGCCCCGTGTCGTTCGAAAAGGCGTCGTACGCGGTAAAGACGTTCCGAAAGACGGTGGTGGCGGCGATTACCGAGACAACGAGGGCGAAGGGAAGGAACATGATATTCATGACGGGGTTGAGCTGTAGGCCAGCGAAGATGGTCTGCAGGAGGTTGGCGACGAAGGCGGCGCAGAAGTAGGCCTGAAGGCAAAGGCGAAGGATTATAGTTGTGCGGTGAATAAAGAGCGGGGACGTACAATTCCGTCACGCAGAAGAACCTTGCCGAGCGTGCTTGAGACGTGGGATATGAGTTGGTACACGCAGACGACGAGGATGATAAAGTCGAAGATCATTGCTATCCAAACGAAGCGAATGCAACGAGTTAGTTTGCCAAAGTTGCAGAATAAATCAAGCGCACGTACTGTAACCCCACACTCCTACCATCATCATCCTCGGTGCAGTAGAGAGCACATCACAGAGCATCCGCGTTTGATTCCACTGGGCTTTGGAGAAGCGGAAGGCTAAGAATGAAATATTTAGCGCCCGGGAGAGGGAATTGTTGGCCAGGAGGAGCGCACTTTGTGACCACATGGCAATTTGTCCGAGGAAGAGAAGTCCCATAAGGACTGTCACTTTCCTGTTTCGATGCCACACCGCTCGGGTGCGAAGGACGAGGATGAGGGAGGAAGCGCAGGTGCCAACGACATCGCAGACTACGTGAAGAGATCATAAATGAGGAATAGTTTTTAAATTGAAATTGTGACACACATTTCGACATGAAAGTCAACTCCTTGCATGGCACCTCACTCAGCGCGTTCCGATTTATGGTGATGGCGAATATGTGCGAAAGCATGGCGAGACGAGCGATGAAGTAGATTGTCTAGCTCGAGGAACAGGACAATAAATAAATTTGGAATTGGCATTTGGATATGAACGCGGCTTACCATTGGCCACTTCCACTTTCTCTTCCCAGAAAGAATCTGCCATTCAAACCACAACGTGCTCAGCACGTCCCAGAGGGCTACACCGGTGAGTACCATTGTGAACGCCCCGAAGACTTCTACAGCATTTCGTGTCAATTACAGCGGATCTTCCGATGCGATGATGACTTACTGCTGGTCCGGGTGATCACAGCGGGGTCGGTCCACTTGATTCCCATGGTCACAAAGTAGAAGCCCCACAGCGAGAGGGCACGAGTAAGAGTATGAAACTGTGGGTGGATCAATCGTGCGAGGAGAGCGAAACAAAAGATGCAGTTTCCCTACTTATGCTCAGCAAAGCTCGCAGGAAGCGCACATTTGGTTATACACGGTTGAAGGGCCGACGGGCTTTCGAAAATGGGCGGTTTCCTAAAACAGCGCAACCAAACTATGCAAAGGTTGGATCTCGATGGGCGCACAGACAGGACCCGACAAGTGAATTGGTTTCTTCTGTGCCTTATTGCCAAGCCTCACCGCCAGGGGTACGGACTGTAAGGCTGTCTGTATATGGTTATTTATGCCTTTTTCAGTCTGGATCAGGGCTTAAGAGTCCGAATAGGACAGATTGATGTCACAGAAACTCCGATCGAGATAATCTATGTATGCTTTTGGCAGAAGCAAAGGCGAGAGCGTTGAGGGATAATCTTGAAATCTGGGTCCGTAGGTGGGGCGGTGTGTTTTCTCGGCAGGCTACAAGCATCACCAGAGCTCCAAGCAGGTTTCCTGTTCAAATTACATTCTTACATAAATGATAGAATCTAAGTTGGTATACTGCACGAATTGTCATTTTCGACAGGATTTGATTGACGTGGGCACGGTCCACATATGCCATCCCTTTCAAATGCCGTGGCAAGTCATAGTCACTATCAAGTCTTGGAGTCTTAATAACTGCCTTCTGAGTGAACATATGTACCTGCATGAACCTCTATGTAGTCTCAGTGAAGTAAACTATAGGGTACAGTCGTTCTCTTAGTGCTCATTCAGACTTGTAGCTGTTAGCTTATCTCCTTCGAAGAAATGGGTCTAGACCATGCCGACCAGCAGCCAGCTAGTAACGTGATCAGCTCCATCAATTGTGGGCGTCTAGTACGCCCAGCCTCCGATGGTATCGCTACCCTCACCTGGAACATCCAAGCAGCGCACTATCGTCTCAGGAATATCTATCTCTCCTTGATGCCGACAACTTAAGCTGGGTCAAAAACATGCATGCATTTTCATGGTCGAACAACCGCAACGCAAGTACTTATAAATTATAATCCAAGTAAAAGTCCCCAATGCCGACACCCACACAAAACGGGATATATTCATCCGCGGAAGTATTTGCTTCTTGGACCGCCTCGTGGACCGCCATCACCAGTGCTCTAACCCGCTGACACTATTCAGTACTTACGGGCGTGGCCCTTACCTATCGTCTTTCTTCGTCACAACCGGATACGCTCTGCGGCGAACTGAATATTGTGCGGAACTGATCGTCCAAATTTCCCTGGCGCCACTTACGCTCAAGACCCTCTACCCGAACTTCGATAAAAGGTCGTCAAAAATCTGGGGAATTTTTCTCAACGATCGATCTCCCACGACGCGTTCAACGTTACCCCCTCACCAATTCGCTCTTCAATTTACAATGAAGATGCGTACTTCATGCTCGCTTCTTGTTTCTATTGCCTTGGCCTCATTAAAAGCTGTCGTTTCGCAAGAAACAAACGTAACGGATACAATTATCAACAAAGCAGTTGCTGGTATGTTGTCAATTGGATTCGTCACTACCTTGGCCTGGAAATGCTGAAACCCGTCGCGCCCGAAGATAATATTGATTTGACGGTGCTGGAGTTCCTTCCCGAGGCGCTGGCTGAGATCGAGGGAGCTTATGAGACAGTCACCAGGCGCGATGGCGCTCAGCGTGCTCGCCGTCAAACACCGACGCCGAATAACATCGTCGATGCTCATGGTGCGTTTCTATTCTCGTTCGGAAGTGTGTACGAGATACCTTATGGCATCGCACAGCCCATGTCGTCCCTGCTTGGTACAAGAATCTATACCCTTCAATCGGCGGGCTCCCAGTCCCTGATTGGACGATGGACGACCAGCTCGCCTTCATGGCAGGCCAGGGTATCGAGCGCGCTATCTTCGCATTCTCGACGCCCGGTCCAAACGTCTTCGTTGGCCGGAAGGCTCGCACGATAGCGCTTGCGCGCCTATTGAACGAACAAGCTGCCGCGTACTGCCGCGCTTTCCCCGATAGGTTCAATTTCTATGCCCAGGTTCCCCTTCCCTACACTCAAGAAGCGCTTCGCGAGGCGCAATATGCGATCAATCATCTTGGGGCTGTGGGCATTTGGGTCCAGTCGAATATCGAGGGCACATACTTGGGGCACCCGTCCTTCAAGAGTTTCTTTGCGACGATCAACTCATGGGCTGGTCGTCAAATCGTTTACATCCACCCCGCCGTCCCCGTTATTAAAGTCGGAAACAGACTAATCGATGCCAATCCCACGCCTTACATTACAGGAAGAATTGAATTCTAGTGAGCGTCTGTAATTCATGTCAAGCTGCACGAAACGCTGACTGACGGGACTCGTTGATATAGCTTCGAGACAGCTCGTACTCTGATGGATTTGACTCTTACGCAAACGATTCATAACTTCACGAACATCCATTATGTTATTCCGCACGGTATGTCCTTTTTTCTGGGAACTTTCGTGCTGAGATTCATTTCCAGTAGTCGGTGGCGCGTATCCTTCTACGATGGACCGTATCCTCAAGTCATTCCCGGATATCTACGATTCCACCTTCCAGATCTACTCAACACGGTTCTGTTTTCCTTACTGCAATGCCATACCGGGATATACTGACACGGCGCCGCTTTCCAGCTTTTGGTGGGACTCCGCTGGTCCCACTTATCACCACCAAGTAGCTGGTCTTCTAGGATATAACATTCCGAAGAGCCAGCTCTTGTACGGAACAGATTTTCCATATGCGCCGCTTGCCCCTCAAGCGGGCTCACTCCTCGCTGTCAAGAATTCTCCCCTGTTCACAGCTGAGGAGAAGACTGCCATCTTCCGAACTAACGCGGAAAACCTATTCGGTGACAAGATTAATTGTAAGAAAATACCATCCCAAATTTGGTTTTCCAGCTCTTTACATAAACTGATTTTTTATAACATGGAATACAGGGTGAATATTTCTGCGGATAAATGGGACCACAGATGTTGCAGTAATTTCCATAACCGTCCACCCATTTGGGGGGTTGCCTGAGGTGCTGGCTACTGAAACAATGTCACGAAATACTAATGACCACGCATATGTAATTTTATTATACTTTATCATTGACACGCACACTGAGAAAGGTCGCTTCAACTCGAGGAACCGGAGGATAGCAGCCTGAACGCGCCGCAAACGCGAGGTTTAGGGGCTAGTGTGACTTTCACGTGATGCCATTTTGACCGGTTACGTTGAAATTTTGAATATGTGAAGTCAACCTTGAGCTTGAACTTCAATAACTCGAACGCGTCTGCTCTAGACGAATGCCATGATCCAGACAGGGCTTATCCAAAATGCACACGCAGATCTTGTGACGGATGCTGCGTACGACTTCTATGGCCTCCGTCTTGCAACTTGCAGCCTGGATCAACGGTGAGTGCGTCATATCTAGAGATTTATACAATGGCTTTAAGATGAACCGTCTGTGCAGCATAAAGGTCTGGCAACTTGACGAAAACAACTCTTGGAGCGTGGAAGACGATTGGAAGGTCTGTGACTCCCTTCTCAGCCTCCAAACCATCGTGTTGACGCATGTATAGGCTCACGATGCTGCCGTCTCGAAGTTGAGTTGGGCACACCCCGAATTCGGGACAATACTCGCGTCCGCCTCGTTCGACCGCACGGTCAAAATATGGGAACAAGTGTCCGCAGGCCAGGCAGAGCCACAGCAAACAGTCAACGGGTCGGGAAGTCATCCCGCGTCAGCCACTTCGCGTTGGGTGGAGAAGGCTGTATTGTCGGATGCGAAGGGAACAGTACGCGCAGTGGAGTTTGCTCCTCATCACTTCGGGTTGAAGCTGGTGCGTTTACTTATCATGTCTATGCGTCCTGGAGGGCTTAACGGACGCAGGCGACGATCGCGACGGACAACATGCTACGGATATACGAATGCATCGAGCAACCCGGTTCCTCTTCCTGGCAACTTACTGAAGAGCTCGACGTGCAAAGCATAGCTCCTGGTCCTTCTCCAGGACATGTCTCCCGAGCACATACCCTCGCACTTGCTACTCCGACCCAGACACACGCCACGCTCGACGGTGCCTCTGCCTCACTCGTTGCACAAGCTTTGCAACAACAAGGCCTGCAGCAAAGTACGAGCTCGTCACAGCGCCAAGGACTGGGCAACCGTGAAGCTGACGGGGGCTGGTGTATTTCGTGGTGTAAGGACAAGTTCTGGGGAGAGGTCATCGCAGCTGGGTGCGGAACATCCGGGACCGTGAAGGTGTGCTCCATCATTCTTTTCACCCCCATCTCTGACCTCGATTATAGATCATACATATAAACGCCCGACGGTCGACGACTCTTCTCATTTTGTCACCAACTGGCGCTACTTCTGGGTCTCAATCGGCCACCACAGGACCTACAGACACTTTGACAACCACCGCTACTTCCTCAACGCCAACCTCTGCCATCACCTCGGTAGCATGGGCACCATCCTGTGGGAGATCCTACCACCTCGTCGCGACAGGTGGCCGCGATGGACACGTGAGGATATGGAAAGTCAAGCCTGGGGTAGACGACCTGGACCTGGACGGGCCTGAACGAGGAGACAGTGACGAAGAAGCGAAATGGACCGCAGTTGCAGTTGCAGATTTCGATCAACACAAGTCGGCCGTCGGGAGAGTAGAATGGAATATCACTGGGTACGTTAACCTCTCTTCCTCGAAACACATGCCATGACAGCGGATTTCTCATCTAGCACCATTCTATCGTCCGCTGGGAATGATGGACGTATTCGACTATGGAAGGCAACGTCTGGCAACGTCTGGAGATCAGCTGGAAGTGTTGGTGTAGAACAGACGGAAGAGCCTAGTCAACCAGAGAGTAAGGACGTTGATATGGAGGCTTGATTTCTTCTTTTCACTTCCAGATTTTGCCTTTCCCTCTGTATATACCAGAACCCGGAAGACCCCAGGATCGAAGCAGGCACTTGCCCCAGACATTGAAAACTGGCCACGAGGGCGGCTGCATAACAAGTATACATCATTGAGAGCGGAATACAGCGCACAAAAAGACATAAAGTGTACCCAGAAGAGCAACGATGTTTGAGGAGACAATTCGGAGGAATCAAGCAGTACTTGTAGATGAAGAATCCATCCACATCGCAAGAGTATCTAAAACACTAGTCCATATACGGGAGAGGGGAGGAGGGGCAGAGATGGTATAGAATTAGACATGCGAGTGAAGAGGAGTATATAGTACGGAGACGACGGGGATGTTCATTTAGAGGTGGTACAAATGGACGAGACGAGACGGCAGGCATAAAGAATCGTAAAAATACGTGCGGTAGACTTAGTAGGCCCTCTGGTACTCACCCACAGGCAGCCCACTACCCCTGATGTCCGTGGGCGACTGTGGCATCTCCGTTCTCAGCGAGCTCACCTCAGTGCGTAGCGACGAGACCGCCATATTGCCGATCAGGCTCATCGGCGGCTCAGAGCTGCCACTGCTGAGGACCATGTGGGAGCTATAGACAATCGGCATAGGGGGAGGGAAGGAAGGATATGGCACAGTATTTGGCTGCGGGAAGGCGTTGTAGATCGTGCGAGATTGGGCTGCTGGGGGTGGAATGAGGGATGGAGGGGACGGCGAGCGTTCAGAGGCAGGAGAGAGTGAACGCTGGCGAGCCGCAGGCGCGCTGGCACTTTTGTCGTTGGTGGTGGTGTCGTTGGGGTCGATCTGCCGGTGCACCTTGAGGTGCTGGAGGAGGTTGTCATGTCGGTTGAAGAACTTCTCGCACAGGGGGAACGTGCATTTGAACGCTGTGCACGGATGTCAGCAGGTCATGACGGGCCACCCCGAGGCCGGAGAGAGGTAGAGCGGACTTACGCTTCTCGTGCGTGTGGATCGAGCGAATGTGCCTCTTGAGGTGCTCGCCGCGATGAAAGCACTTGCCACACCCCTCGACGGTGCAGACGTACAACCTGCTGTCCTTCTGATCCGGATCGGGAGCCCCGACGTCTTTGGTGGGTACGCGCCGGCCTCGGCTCTTTTTCGTCAAATTCGGAATAGGAGTAGGGAGCGAGGCGCGCGAACGTGGCAGGCGCAACTGAGGTTGGCTGTCGGGGACGGAGGAATGATAGAAGGTGAGTTCTCGCTCTGCGGTGTTGGTGTTAGGGGTTGGCGAAGGTGCAGGTGCAGCAGCACTGGACGCTGAGGAAGCCAAGGAAGCCTCACGCGTGGGTGGTGGCTTCGGACTTCCAGAGGCGCTCTGGCTGTGTGAGCTCGAGGCTTCAGCAGCAACAGCAGGAGAGACTTTTCGCTTCTTCCTGGGGGCTCGCTTTTTGGTTTCGACGATGTGGTCGGAGTCGTCGCGTGTTCGGCGCTTAGGCACGGTTCCGGTCTGTGAGCGCGTCTGCGGGCGGCGCGCAGAAGAAGTCGCATTCGATGAGGAAGTAACCACTGGAGTCTCCTCCGCTGCCTCAGGAGGCTGGATTTCATGGGGGAGGGGTAAGTGAGCGGGAACGTTTCCGACCCACTGGAAACGCACCTCGGAAGCATGCTCGCCCGGCGGCTCTGGGGTACCCTCCTTCAATTCTGTTTGTTCCTTTGGAGTCGATGAAGCCTCATTTTGGAGCTCTGGAGACTTCTCACTCTGAACGGCAGGAGATTTGACGACGGGTGGGTGCTCCTCCTCAACTGTTGCCATAGCTCGGACTTGGGAGGTCTGCTACGCGGAGAATACTAAGAAGAGCCCTAAGTGTAGGCGCTGGGTGTACTTGCTGGGGACTTCGTGGACGTAGAGGGCAGAGGCCGATGGGGAGGGTTGTGAGGATAGGGGGTGGAGGAAGCGAAACCCCTGAGCGAAGGGCCAACTTTTTTTTTGTACGTGCACGTGCCAAATATTATGTAACTTTATCCCATACATCGGTCCGCTCCAGCCGTCAGACTAAGTCCAGTTTATTGCTCGAAGTATGTAGTCTTTGACCTCGTTTCCTCACTTCTCCCTTCAATTTCTCACTGAATCTACCAACTCTCGACATTTGGTCCCAAGGCGTTGAAACACTAGAACGACACTTCGGCCACGGAAATCCGATTACGCGCCTTCGATACCTTTCTCTATCCACTTCAATGCCAGATCTGCAGAACCATAAGACTCTATATAACCTGCGGCTCCATGTCTTCAGAATGTATGCCTTAAGTTCTTTTTAAGTGACCTCTGGAAGAAACGGCTCACCCAAAGTTGTGGACTACTGGGATCCTCTTCCCTGTAGGCGGATCTATATACCGGGTCGAGATATCGAGACCCTCCTTCCGCATTGGCCTCAAACCGCAACCTTCGCTTATGACAAGGGGAAGTAGGGTCTCAACCTCCTGTATCCCTCCTTTGCGAGAACCTGGAGGAACTAGCTCAGGACACAACGCGAGAGTGCGCTTCAAGATATCCCTCATCGTCTCTGGACGCGGACTCGGGAACCTAAACTTTCGTTGAATGGAGTTGGATTGTATCCTTGAACGAAGTACTTACCAATCATCTGACGACCCAACGGTGCCGCCCAGTATGACGTCGCCGTTCTTCCTTGGGATGATATACGTCCATTCGTTATTTTCCCCCGAGAAAGTTCGCCCAAAGTTGATCCAGGGAGCACGTATGAGGACGGTCTGTCCCCGAGCTGGAAAGACTGTCGCGTCCTCAACGCCCCCGAGAGTACGTGCTCCGAGGCCAACGCATACAACCACTGCGTCTGGGCACTCACTCTTACCTGACTTTGATCCCTTGGCCCGATTGGCGCGCTCCTCAGGGGATAAGAAGGGTGTGGTTCCCGCTTCCAAGAGCTGGGAAAGATGTTGCAACTGGCCCCGGACTATGGTACCTCCTTTCTCTAAGAAGCGCGAGAGGAGCCAATTCAAGTAAACCGGGACGTCGATGGTCACAGTCTCGAAAGAATACCCAACTTCGGCATGCAGGCTAACGTTGGAGGGCAGGTCCTCCTTGGGAATCTTTCGATACTGAATTCAATGCAGGGAATGATTATTGTTAGCATAAATCAGCTACGACTCAGCGAGAAACCTGACTTACGGATGGCATCGTCTCCAGTCAATTGGGACTTTCAACCTCTTTGACATAATATTCCGTCTGGTTTAGGCGAAGGAAGCAATGCTCTGCGGCGCCTCCAGGGCGGGAAAGTTCCCAGAACACCTTGAAAGTAGGCCCGGCAGCTTCTGTTGAAATCACCGTTTCAAATTCGTTTTCTCTGGAAGTGGCTGCGGTAAATCACCTGCTTTCAAGGACCGGGTCTCTGCAGAGCTAACATAATGCGCTCCCTAAAAAGATACTAGATGAAGTGACCGTCTTGACGAGTTTAGAGACATACCGCCCAATGACTGGTGTAGTTTACGGACTTGGGATCGGTCGGGAAAGTCTGGGCGATAATTTCTACTTCGTAGTCACCCTTCTCTAGGATGCATAGCGCAGTGGTCAGACCAATAACCCCTATTTAGCATGCAGAGATCGGCCAATCAGATAGCTGAGATTAGGCGACTTCATAATTGAACTGCACCTGCCCCGACGACAATGACTTTCTTCTTGACCTGAGTTTGGTCTCGGGAAGCAGCATCCGAAGTCGCCATCGTGAAAGAGATAATCCAGAGAGCCTGTGAATCTGCTTGAAAGTCGAAACTTTAAATACCCTACGTGTGTGAGTCATCGGCGCTCTCCTTTCACTTTCGGCTCGGTCCAGATTCCGCATCGAAGTGCTTCTATGTTTTTGTGGGGTCTCGCGATCAGAACCGGTAAGCTTCGAACCCTTCAAATCACAGAACATGGTCGAGGCGACTTCTACCAGTGTGGAGTGACAGTAAGTATGGATCGGGTATTGAGAATATATAGTCGTTTCTAATTATTTAATAGACGCCGGCATGAGGTGTAGGAGGATAGCGCTCGTGACTGCATTTACTTATTGTGATGGAAGAAATGAGTCGTGGACGAAGCGCCTTTCAAGCCTTTCCCTTCATGGTACTTCGCGATAATATGCTTCTTCCCGGGTTCTTCATGCACACTAAACGAGCGACGCACCATCGACAGTCAGTCTCCTTATCTCCACCAAAGGATGAAGAAAAAACGCACGTCAAATCCACATGAGGGAACTGCTGCAGCTGCTTGTTGGACTTCCACTCCTGGTGCGCCTTCTTCTCCGCCAGCGCACGGTGGGCCGGGTCACCCTTGTAGCTCGTCACACTCGCTTTGGCGCCCGTTCCCCCCGCCTTAATCTTGGCTACTTTAGCGTGGTGATTCCCAATTTTCTTATTGAGCTTCTGCTCGAGTTTCTTTATCTTCGCTTTCTGCTGCTCCGGGGTCAGCTCCTTCTTTCCCCTCAGCCTGTAAATTAAAGGGAATTGTAAGAGATCGCAATTTTGGTAGCGCCGGGGAATCAGCTTACTTGTCCAGAAGGCCACGGACGAAAATTTCATCGGAGAGAAGAGCGCGGGCAACAACGACGTCAATTTCACTCGAGGTAGCGCGACCCTTCAATCACGTATAAGAGATTCGTACTGTTACATGGAAAGGGAAAGTCATACCACAAGATCACTGGACTCGTACCCACTGATAGGTACGGCAAACACGGTGGGGGTCATGTAGGCGAAGATGGGGATGAGAGACACGATGTAAGAGACCTTCATAGTGGAAAAGAAGTTTTGTCGTGAAAGGCGTAAAGATGAGAAGCGCACAGCGCACAGTGTCCTCTGGAGATGGGGGTGAGACCTGCTCAATGATCGAAAACATACAGTAGGCGTCCAGATTTTATACTACTCGCCTGTGTCTAAAGCACGGCTGTGTTTGACATCATACGTGTCGGCGATCAACGGATCGCATCAGGCGCTTATCCTTTCGGCGCCAAGCAAGGCGATGCTGAAACGGCCGAGGCAGTGGTACATCTGCCGGAGCTTCAGATATAGGAAGGCTTGTATAACCAGCACCGAAGAAATGTGTTCCAGCGTAGTTTTTGGAAGAGAAGAACAGCCTGAGAGCCGGAGACTCGAACAAAGCGAGAAACTGTGAGATGGAAGGGAGAAGCGTAATAACGCCTTCAGAGGCACCAGTCATCGCAGATCATGGCGTGATGAACTGGGCAGACTAACTTTAGACTCATCACTCTCCTTATCGATAAATCTGGCAGGCCCATGCCGACATCGCCTCGCATTGCCAGTGATGCACAAGACACAGAAGTTTTTTTTTCAAAATTTCGGTAGATGTTGGGTCTTGAAACGTCTACTGTGAATGTTCGTCGCCTTTTCCTGTGTTATCGTGCCATCAAAAATGATTGTCGGGAAAATCATGATCAAATTTGTGTGGCGCATTGGAGGGCCAGATGGCGCCAGCCTCCAGGCCTTGTGAAACAGCGTCTCTTACATCAAAAAAAACGCGAAATAACCACCAGGTCCCGGCTTGAACTCTACTGGTAACCGGACGCTTTCCCGTTACAGTGGTAGATTAGGTAGCACACCGTGTTCAATGAAGTTCACGGAAATCGCTTGCGATTCCCTCCGGCATTAATTCAGTTCTGTGTTTGTCAAAGGATCGCCGGGTTACCGCTGTTGAGCCCGGGAAATTCGTAATCTAGGTGTGCTCTGACCCCCTACAAGAAATCCTCGAAACGACATTTTTATTTCTCTCGATTTTCAGGTAACCCCTGCCCCTTGAAGTTCATCGCCATCCCTTATTGATTATGAATCAATGCTCCACTATCCGATTCGATGGAACCTAGGATCTGCGGGTATTTTCATGAACACCGGAAAGGAAGATTTACAGGCCCAGTTCCAGAGGATGCTCTACGTAAAAGGAGACATCAGTAAAGCACATCCGTGTATCCTTTTTCAAGTAAAATCTCATCTAGATTAGATTAGATTGGCACGCCATTATATTTCCACATCGGGTTACCTCTACTCTTGAGTCTTGGCCTTGAAACCTGAATTACGCAGAAAGTTCTGGGATTCGAAAGTTCGAGCCGTGCGAGCCGTGCGAGACGTACGAGCCTGCTTAGCTAACGCAGTGGGCCTCGCCAACTCGTCAGCTACTCTACACTGGCAGCCAGCAACCGCTCGACACAGAATTGCACCATTATCTGCTCCATCATGGCCTCACTGTCAGTGTTCTCCACCCGCTGAAGCAAATCACAGGAATTTTCTCTCCAAGATGCCATGGGAAGCCTAGCACTGGGTTCGCAGAAACCCCAACACCCACCCAATGTTTTGCAGGGTGAGGGCGGGCACGAACGACGGACGCGTGGGTAGTGACACGGCAAGCCAGAGCATGGAACCGCTTGCCTGTGCCGGTCTACGTTCTGGACACGGGGCAAGTACGAGCAGAGGGAGAGGGAGAGGAGGGCTAGGGCTAGGAAGGCAAGGGCGAGTCCCTCCCCTTACCAGCCCCTCCGACCGCGCCTTCCCAATCCCATTCCGCCCTTCGCATGCAGCACCCACAGATACCTACCATCGCCGTCCCCACCAACTCGATCTTTGGCAACACAGCTACTTGAGAGGCCCGGACATGCGGGCTTGAACATGACACGAGTGCAACAAGGGACAGGAGGGAGGGGCCCACGCCGTCCTCGCCCTGTTCTACCCTCCTCGTACGCCGTCTCGCCATCCCGACTTCCTCCTTTCCACCCCGACACAAGACCTTTACACACTGCACACCACACAGGTCAGCCACGCGCTGTTGCCCCCCATGCCTAACCCCAACTACCACCTCAAGCTCGACCACAGACCCCTCACGACTGGGCCGCTCACGAGCACAAACATCAGCGGTACGACGGGCGAGCGAGGAAGTGAGGAGCGAAGGTTAGCTTCGAGAATTGGCACGACGGACAGGAATATGGTTATACTATGGGGATTAGTAACCATCTCTCTGAGCCACGCTACCGCAAAGAGCTACCCTCGTCCTGCCGTTGTAAATACCTATTAAATGCACTTATTTTGTCATTTTTCCTCGGCTGGTTTCTATGGCAGGGTGAAAGCCTGCGACGGCACTGGGCAGGCGGTTGTGCTGCGCTGCCCGCCCTCATCGACAGGGCCAGCACCTGCTGACCCTCCCTGCCCACTTTAATTTGTGGGCAGTCAAGCTTGTGTCAGATTATCCTCCAACATTACCTAGTCTTAGGAACTAGCGAGCTAATAATTATTTTCTAAGTTACTTTCTGCTGGGGCCACTGCGGGTGGAGGTCACAGCCACCTATGGCTCGTACGTCTCGCACGGCTCGCACGGCTCGAACGGCTCGAACTTTCGAATAACGGAACGTCCTCGAACTACGACCTTCTGGCTGCTCTGGGATATCCTTGGGCATGCACTCAGCTTAGTATGGAAAGCAGGACTGATATGCTCAAAGTTTGGTCATCCAAACCTCGGCAACGATGATGGCCGACACGTTAGCAAGCTGCAAATATGAAATTATCAATTTCCCTTCTTCCCTTGGTCCATGAAATAACGAAGGGAGTACGTTTAATCGGCTAGAAATGGCCCGTGTGCATCCTCTGAAGATATATACGTCACTCTACTGGTGACTTTGAGGATCCGGGTCTGAGTAAAAAGGTGTGAAAATATTCAGGAAGGTCCACGAGATGGCCACACATGCTTAGAGTGCCCCTGGCGCATTGAGTCACTTGGGGCGTGTCATTATTTATGGTTTACGATGCTGTACGGCTCCGACATGTGACCTTATGGTCTTTGAGCTCATCAACTTCAGGCAATAGAGAAACTTGCCATTACAGCTGTTTTCCTATCGATAGGCCAACATAAGCAAAATACACACACTAATCGCTTAGGCGGAGTCGCGATTTAGATGCCGGAGACCAACGGATAGAGCCCGCCGGGCTGTCCTACCTTGTCCTACCTGCGCTATTCAAAGTCAACAGCAACCGTGTTCTTGAAACAGAATGAAACATCTTCAAGGTCATCCTCGAGGTTTCAGTGTTCACCAGATGAGGAGGATGTCAAGAGTATGCGGCATTGTACCAGGCTCGACCATTGTAATTTATACACCCTTTTCTGTGGCCTGCCCACCACTTTTCCACAAATTTCCGGGTTGATGTTGGTTCGTGAAGTCTATTGGCGCTGTCACTGGTGACTCAGACATTCTTGACAGCCATGTGTTCTGAATCCACATACATAATTTTGCCAACCTGCAGATCTCTCGCCTCTTCTAAAGAATTATTGTAGCAGCTGCTCGCCCTCACCAGCTCCTCTGTGGTTCTTGCAGGCCATCAGCTATCAGCAGACGCTCTCAGCTCGTGAGAGGGCCCTAATTTTCAGAGTCTGCTTGTATGCATATTTCTTTGATGGCAGCCTATCGATAAGAAAACGGCTGTAATATTGTTGCGATGGCTCAGTGGATACTAGGTCCAGTGAGGCTGGTGTAAGGAAGGAAGGAAGGTTGGATTACCGGCGAGGTCCCAACGAGGAATGACCGACCCGTGATGTACTTAGAGATACAAGCTACAACTACTCTAGGTTATTCCAACAACCCACTATGCCAATGCACAGATCCACAACAATGAGCACTGAGTCCGGAGGCGCACGACATGCCATTCTCTCCACCTCACCTTGATCCCATTTCTTGTCTTTTATTTCTTGTCCCCGTATTGACTAGAGCCGCATAACAGGGGAACACGACTGCGCACCTCAGAGCTGCTCACTCCAAGGTCTGAGCATGTTTTTTCATTCCCTCGATGCACCTGATTATTACATTGTAGGCATGTCAACAATGCCACTGTGTATGGCACTTACGAATGAACAGATTTACTTCTTCTATGTATGGACACAGAATTAACCTCCATTTTTTTTGTAGAAAGAGAACAGGAATTCTATTAACACGCGACTCGGATACTTCTCCTAGGCTGGCGTGAGATTACTGGAATCACTGGTGGCTCAGTGGAGTCATACACGTGGATCAGAGCTACGAGGCTTTAGCTTTGGGAAGCAAAAATACTGGACACTTCTCACTCATTCTATAAGAAATTTTGATGAAATGCCCATCAGACTTCATGAAGCCTTGCAATTTTTCTACAATTGAGGGCTCGGTAACCTTCCATCCTCAGATTACTCAACATTTCTTCAATTCGGACTCACTCATTGGCCCAAGGCAACAACACAACAGGCTCGAGAATACGCACGGGCCATGTCGCCTGACAGATGGACCTTGAACACGGAAGGGAAGAAGGGAAATTGATCATTTCATATTTGCAGCTTGCTAACGTGTCGGCCATCATCGTTGCCGAGGTTTGGATGACCAAACTTTGAGCAGATCAGTCCCGCTTTCCATAGCTTAGGGATGGGATGCTTCTCCTTCCAAGCATCGTCTATCAGCTCTTCGCAGCTGGTGGCTCGAGGACCGGCCTCGATGATCTAGAGAAAACACAACCGAGGGTAGAGGCTGACCGTGGCGATGTGCCCGACGGTGACTGCTCTGATTTCTCTCCTTTTCCTATGCCAGACGACCGCCTCAATGTCAGCCAAAGCGGCGAAGAGACAGCGGCCCACCAGTACCGGTTCCTCCCGATATTCTCAGGCATCATGATCCCCTTCTCCATCATGCTCTCGATCCCAAGCCTTACGGGACACTGGTACATTCGTACGGGGGACAACGACGTGACGATCGAGGTGCGGCCGAACCCACTTATGCTGGACATGGCGATGGGGATGAGCATGGGGTGTGGTGTGCTGGCAAGCGCATGTCTTGTGGTGAGGTTCACGGAAAGGAGGGTCAGGCTGATGACTTTCTCATGCATCGTTTTTCTTACGCTTCATGATACGCTTTCGCTTTAACTCGCCTTCTCTCACCCATAACAAAGTTTGAACCTAGATATCATTAACATACCCGCTGTGACGATCTTCGGCATTCAGCACCGTTTCGACGACGGATTCACGTACGGCCAGTCCTTCTGGATGACCGTCTGCTCGACCCTCGCGTCCACTGCGACGAACATCACCCTCATCGTTGACTACGCCCGTACGACGGACTTTGCCCAGTCTGGGAGCGGTTTAACGCGAAAACAACGGTCGCTCGCGATTATCATCATCATTCTACTTTGCTACATCTCTCTTGGGGCTCTCATTCAGACCATCATGCTCAAGATAGCCTTCATCGACGCGCTGTATTTTACAGTTGCGTCAATTGAAACCGTCGGTGAGTGCATTGCACCCTCTGTCAACATTCTGACTGCATAGACTTTCAGGATTCGGCGACATCCGTCCAACATCCACCGGAACGAGAATCTTCACCTGCTGCTACATCGCCGGCGGTATCCTCAACCTCGCTTTGGCCGTGGCCATGGCGAGCGAGGCCCTCCTCGAGGCAGCCGCCGTCGGCTTCCAGTCGCGGCTCAAGCTGTCCGTGCACGCCAGCGCGAGCGCCGTGTTCGCGCCCGGTAGCGTGCTGCTGTAAGGTGGCGCCTCGTCTCGAAAGGCCTGCCTGTGTGGTCGATCAGCGGAGCGATGAGCCCCATGTTCACTATCCATGGTACAGCTCTATTTGGAGGGCATGCAAAAGCGAGCAGAGGGACTCGGCCTGGAGATTCCTGTACGGCTCGAGACATAGCAGGTTGAACGTCGAGGTATTGACGATGGCCCAGCTCGAGGCTGCAGCGCTCGAAGCTGGTGTGCCGGTGTCGGAACTAGTCCCAGAGGACTTACTTGAGGTCATCAGAGACACCGACGGCTGCCCACCTGTCTCACGAAGAACCCCAGTAGATCCAGCCATCGACCTGCCGCCCCTAACGTCCGGATAGGTGGCATGGTCTCGCTGCTCGGCAGGTTTCTTGTCGCATTCACCCATGGCGTACCCCTTGGCCAGAAACATTCGAGCTCTCTACTTGAAGGGAACTCTGCTGCAGAAGATGACGACGAATTGTCCGCACTTGGGAGTGGGGTGGAGATGAGCGGGGTCGGGATACCCTTGACGAGTACGTGGACGGTTCAAGATTCGGACGATGGGCCGCTCGCGGAGAAGGTCGCACAGGAAGAAAGAAATGGATCTCATGCGCGGCTGAGTATTGCGTTGACGCTGTTCTTCGTGTTCTGGATGGCGGGCTCGGCGATTTTTGCGAAGACGGAGAGGTGGAGTTTTGGGTCAGCGGTTTATTTTTGTGAGTGGTCAAGGCTACAGATGTGAGGCTTGAACGGAAAAAAGACTGAAGGAGATGTGATAGGCTTCATAGCCTTTACAACGGTCGGATATGGTTGGTCTCCACTTGCTGTCATCCTACTGGACCCTTCTAACGAGAGCTGAGTAGGCGATCTTTACCCAAGAACGCCTGCTGGTCGCTCCATTTTCGTCGTTTGGGCGCTCCTTGGAGTTGGTACCATGACCATCCTAATATCCAGTAGGCCTAATGCGCCTCTATCGCATTTTCTACCATTCAACCCGCATTACACAGTCCTAGCGGAAGCGTACTCCACCCACTACAAGTCTGTTATCAAAGCCAAAGTCTTCCCCGAGGACACAACAACGGCCTACGAAGAGACCGCTCTCACCTCCAACCCGATGCCACAGCGCCTATTCGAATCTCGCACGGTTCTGAACACGGGCACGGATCCGGATTTCTCCGCCGGCGCTTTGTTCTCGTTGGAGACGCCACAAGCTGGAAGGAGCTGGAAACCTGCCATTGGAAGCTCTACACCGGAGTTCTTTCTCAGTTCCGTCGAGGCTGCGAATACGGGTGCTGGGAAAGGGCAGGAGTTCCCGCGGAGGGTGTTGAGGCATGCGGAGAATTTACAGGAGCTGATGGATCTGGAGAGGCGTGCGAGGGAGGGGATTGAAGGGTCTGAGCAGTTAGTAGGTGGCTTAGCTCTCTGTATTCCATTTGGACTTAGCTTACTCGTTTTTTCAAATCTGATACGTAGGTGGTACTTCTGTCGAGCCTAGAAAGTGAGTTGACGTGTTCCTGGCTGTAGAAGGTGGGAGACACTCATTTTGTGTTTTCAATGATCAGGCTCGTTGCAGGAAATCGTAGATGCCGCAAACGACGCGCTTCGGTCTGAGTCAAAGAGCGAGAAACAGGGCTTTTTTATGACGAACCCTGAAACTTGAAGCTTGAAGCTTGACACTTGACGACCTGACGACCTATTTTTCTCAATTACCAGCCTTTCCCAGGGACCCATCAGACCTCCATGTACCATTATTTAGCTCCAGGTCACCTGAATGCCACCGAACGGCTTTGACCACTTCGTCGACATGTAGGGACTCTGTATATAAACTACAGTCATTGAAATTTAAAATTGATCCCAGAACTCAAGCAACCCATGGATTCTCATAAAACCACTTGGAATCGGTGTATTAGAGCCATTAAAGTAATTATATACCAGTTATATGCCATAAAATACAGCGAACGTGAGCAGAAACTGCCAGAGAGGCTGTACAAGTGAGTGGTGTGACGAAATTGAGATGAATATTTTGATGATTTTGTTACCGGGCATCGACTTCTCAAAAACCCACAAAGATTTACGCACAGCGTGCGGAAGGTCTATA